TGTTGTACTATCCACACCTTTTCTTGCAGTGTCATGCGCTCTTTTCCACCTTAATGCATTGGGAGAATTTCGCCTTGCAGTGCAGTTGTGCGCTTCAAGAAGGGCGGAAGGTCTTCAAGCGTCGTTGTATGTTTGAATTAAGCGTATACGCTATACGTAGTTTAGAAGCACGTGAAGCGTACGCTGTAAGTAGTTCTTAGAACTACGCTATAGTTTCACTACACTGCAGGAAATAACCACAACAAAAGTACACAAATTTCTGGCAATTTTTTTTTTTAAGAATTTAGTGTACTTTTCAAGTACAACAATTGTTGTGCAAAGTACAATGGAACCGGCATGACGAGTGCTGTGCAGTCCAGGGCTCGTTGTGGTTTGTACAATTCTCTTTGTACTTTCTACAATCCCTGTTGTACTTTTATTGTACAGTTTTTGTTGTACTTTTGTTGTACAATCCACACTTTTTCTTGCAGTGTAGTGTAGTGAGCGGCGGGGAGTGCGCAGTGCGCACGCAGCACGCAGATACTGCATGCACGCACGCGTCATGAAGGCAGTTCGTCACCAATCACTTTCCTAATCGATGGCCCACTGCACCTGCACTCGAGCAGTGTCAACAAACACGGAGGACCCACGTGACGCGTGTCGATGCGCGCCAAACGGAAGACTGACTCCGAGAGGCGTTTTCGTCGCTCTGTCTATCTCGCACTCGTGGGGCGTGTCGTGGCGGTGCGAGAGAGACAGAGCGACGAAAACGCCTCTCGGAATCAGTCTGCAGGGAGTGCCGGGCGCCGCAGCGAGGCCCGCCCGAATCTTCGTCAACTGCGTCGCCATTTTCAACGCCGCGCCCCGAAGGGCCCAAAGGGCGCGACAGTCGCGTCACGTGACCGGATTTCTGCGAAATGACGCGCATCACGCGCAGACACGCAGCAGGCGTCTGGGCTGGTGCAACGCGCCGAGGGGGTAAACACTTCAAGAAATCGTGTACAGACTACTCGGTATTACGCTGTATTACGGGGGTATTACACGTGTATTACGGCCTAAAAATGGCAAAATTTGGCACATTTGACCCAGAAATGGTATTACGACCACGTGTATTACGCGTAATACACGGTTTTTGTGTACAGGCTATTACGCGAGTGGTTACCCCCTCGCAACGCGCTGCAGCGGCACCCAGTTTCGTCGCTCTGTCTCTGTCGCACCCGCAGGACGTGCCGCAGGCGTGCGAGAGAGACAGCGCGACGGAACGACCCTCCAGAATACGTCTCTGCCGCTATCGCGGCGACGGCCAAGGCGAGGTGCAGCGACCAGCGAATCCATCACCGCACTGCGAGAAGTCGACCACTTTTCCGTTCTTCGTTTTTGCTCGCTCCTGCACTGGAAGCGCCGGACTTCCACTTCCACTGCCGGCACTTGCAAATGCCGACAACGCCTTGCTCCTTGAACACACTGTGTCTTTTCCGGACCTTATTAATTAATCACGTCGCGAGTTTTAATCTAATCGGTCTGTACTCACGTGGCATAACACTCACGTGATCGACCTGAAGAGGCTTCGGCGGTACTGCCCAAAGATTCCAACTGCGCCTTACGCAATCAATTCTTCTCTCAATGACACATCACTGCGAATGAATGAGAGATTGACCGTGGCAACAATGACGGGCGATAAAGGCTGTATCCGAAAAAAAATGGTCGATCGATAGTCTTTATCAGAATATTTGGTGTTGATTTTATTAGGGTGACTGCAGCGTGAGAGTGGGTGACTCAGTTACGCACTTGACCCAATGGGAATTGAGTTCGTGGCGGGCCACCTTTGGTGTTCGGGGGAGTCGTTTCCGTCGCTCTGTCTGTCTCGCACTCATAGGGCGTCACGTATAGGTGCGAGAGGGACAGAGCGACGGAAAGGACTCTCGGAATCAGTCTACACAGCCCCGCACGGCCCGGGCGATGGGGACTTTGAGAGCTGCAGAACTATGCACTGCGAGGCGCCATCGCGCGTCCTTTCCTTTACGACAGTGTCTGGATACATCCTGCTGGGTGTTGTTGTTGTTGTTGTTGTTGTTGTGTGGTGGTGGTGGTGGTGGTGGTGGTGGTGGTGGTGGTGGTGGTGGTGGTGGTGGTGGTGGTGGTGGTCGTCGTCGTCGTCGCCGCCGCAGTCGCACTTCTTGGGCTCTTGTCTTGCTGCCGAGGGGGCAAAAACTCGCGCAATCATGTGTACACGGCCCCCGAAATCACACGCGAATCATTGAGAATCACGCGAAATCAAGCAATCCGAAATCAGCCAAAATCACTAAAATCGACCGAAATTAGGCAGAATCACACGAAACCAGGCCAAATCAGTCCGAAATCATTTCTTTCCGAACACAATCACACGCAATCACGCTCAACATCACCCTGGTGCGTCGCGAAATAAGGCAAAATCAGCCATGAAATCAATTAAAACCATGCGCAATCATTGCGATTTCCGAATCATGTGTACACGAAAATCCCGAGTTTTTGCCCCCTCGCTTGCTGCACTGCTTATTTCCCCCATCTAATTAATAGTCCTCTCCTGGTTCAGGGCTCTGCTGCGCGGCCGCACCCGGATGCGGAGTGGTGGGGCAGGCCGTGCAGGCCGGCAGGCTGGACAGGTGACACGCCGGTGTCACGCTGACGCGGCTGAGGCGCACCGACAGATAAACAGCCTCCTTCTACCAAATGCCAATGCACCCAGCCAATGCTGGCCGCGCTCTGCGGACTTGATTCCGAGAGTCGCTTTCGTCGCTCCATCTCTCTCGCACCTGGGGTGGGCACCCATGAGTGCGAGAGAGACAGAGCGACGAAAACGACTCTCGGAATCAGTCTGCTGCATGCGTCTCAGCATGAGTGTGAGGCCGCCTGGTGCGCAGAGCTGCATTAGCACAACGCGTGCGCAGTGGCAGTGCAGTGTCAAAGACTGGCCCTCCTTCGCCACTACTTCTTCTCCACGCGCGCAAAATAAACCATAAAACAGTGCTGGCTCTGCACGCGACGCGCGACGGCTTTCAGTTCATTCACTGCACTGTGAACCTCGCATTCCGTGCAGCTAGTGCGGCCCGACGTCCGAGCGGCGGCAACCCGCCAGGCTTGGCCAGCCTCCAGTCCGTAGCGCAAGGCAGCAGACTCATTCGGAGGAGTCGTCTCGTCGCTCTGTCTCTCTCGCACTCATGGGGCTCTCCGTAAAGGTGCGAGAGAGACAGAGCGACAAACCCGGACATAAACCGATCTTCTGAACTTCTGAATGGCTGGGCGTACGGAGCGCGGGTTACCCACTCTCGGTATTAGCGAGGAGATCAACTCATTATTAATTGATGGCAAAATACTAAATGGCGAGGGCGAGGCGCTCGAACATTTGGGCAGCGCGCGGACGCCCCTGGTGAGATGACTAATGGTTATGCGAAAGGATTTAGTCGAGCGGAAAATTTTAGCGGCGCCAGCGGTGCTCTGCTTTGCTGTGGCCTGTTGTCGGGGACCCTTCGCGCTCGAGCGCTTTATCTACGACACAAGTAGTGTCCACTACTACTGTGAAAGTGAGACCGCAAAATACGAATTTAATCTGAGGTTTTCTTTTTGTGCAAGATAATTTTGGAAGTTGTACCTACATAGCAATAACAATCGGAACTTGGTACTGGGGAAAGGGGGGTGGGGTGGTGTCTTCAAAAAGCGCGTGGCCTCATAGAACCAGCAAGTCGCGGTGCGAGCGCCCTGTGGGTAGGCAAAACCTACGCAATGTCTCTTCTCCCCTGAGGCCTGAAACTGACAAGTGGCCACAAATTCATAGTTCATACCGCTCCGATAAATTTCAAGAATGTTTCCGCTCTGAGACTTCCGCAAAGAGCTTCCGGTTCACCGTGATGATGCCATTCATTTTGTCGTCCCTATCGTCCTTCAATAGGACTCATTACCTCGCTCATTACCTACTGTTTTAGATTTGATCGGACGATGATGAGTGTCGTCGTCTGGTTCATCATGGGCCGTACCGTGCACGGTCCAGGAAAAGAGGACATTCAGAAATCTATAAAACGAAAGGAAAGGGTGCGCTTAAGGGTGCGCTCACTCATTGCGGGGTGGGGAACGCAGGCAACAAACAAAGGCATGGAGTATCGCGACGGCGCTGAGCTTCGCAGGCCGGCCGCCAGAGCGCTCTGCGACCGGCGGCGATACACCGGTGCACCACCACCACCCACCCACCGCGTTCGTTCACTGCGTTGTCCTCTGCCAGCGTCCATCCCAAAAGTTCGAGGGTTTCGGCTTTGTTTTCGGCGCACTTCTCAATTCTTCATTTCTCGTCAAGTCGATTCAAAATTTTCGACACCATGTTTCCAACTGGCAGGAAAGAATCTCCGCACATTATGCAGGTAAGTCCGGCATTTCGATGCGGAATATCATCTGTCACATAACCTATCGGATTTGTTTCAAAACGAACTTGTTTATGGTTTGTAATCATGTTTTCTTCACATGACATGAAAGTGTTTGCTGTAATTTGCGTTGTTGTATATGATTCATGCTTCTGGAAACTTCTTGTTCATCGGCAGTTCAAATTTCTGCTTAATTACCAAGTTCGGCACTTGGAACAGTTATGTGGTGTTGTCTGTTCTTCATTCACTCTTAATTCATACTGGCTCTGGCTCTCACTCTAATTAAACGATGCCGATTTTTACTTTATTTTGCCTATTTTGTCATCCCCTCAAACATCTTTATCATTCTTATCTTATCATCTTAGTGATAAAATTACTGAAATTTCTGAATCCTTGTTTTGTGTGCGTTTTAGCGACTGATCAATGCGCAGCAGAGCCCAGCCACTCTTCCCCCTGCTGTTGACCGAGAAAAAGTTTTCCAGTGGATTGTGGAGTTATCTAACCCTGACACCAGGGAAAATGCTCTACTGGAACTGAGGTAAGGATCATTGGCCTCAGGCACAGTATAGTATATGTGCTCAGCTCCAATTGAACATTATAACCTATGTTGTTTTCCAAAACATACTTCAACCTTCATCTTTCTTTACTTTCAACAGTAAGAAACGTGAGGTTGTGCCGGATCTTGCCCCGATGCTTTGGCACTCATTTGGAACAACAGCAGCCCTTCTGCAAGAAATTGTCAACATATATCCTGCAATGAATCCCGCAACTCTAAGTGCACACCAGTCCAATCGAGTGTGCAACGCTCTTGCCTTATTGCAATGTGTGGCTTCACACCCTGACACCCGTTCTGCCTTCCTGCAAGCTCATGTTCCGTTGTTCCTGTACCCATTTTTACACACTGTTAGCAAAACTAGGCCGTTTGAATATTTGCGCTTGACAAGTTTGGGTGTAATTGGAGCTCTTGTTAAGGTAAGGGGAACACTTGAATATATTTCAGTAATTGTACAATTTAACATATGGAAGTGCAGAGAATGAATGAAACTGTGACACTGTATTTTATTTGTTTCTTTTACAGACTGACGAGCAGGAAGTGATAACTTTCTTGCTCACAACAGAAATAATTCCTCTCTGTCTTCGCATAATGGAAAGTGGATCAGAGCTTAGCAAGACTGTAGCCACATTCATTCTTCAAAAGATCCTTCTTGATGACTCCGGGCTGTCATACATTTGCCAAACCTATGATCGCTTCTCTCATGTAGCGATGATTTTGGTAAGTTGTGAAGAATTATTTCATTGCTTGTTCTGTGCTTTTTGTCTCCTTTTTCTTAAAAAAAATTTAAAATTGTGGATAATTAGAAGAGCTTTTGCTTTTGTTTCTTTTCAGGGAAAGATGGTTCTATCCCTGGCCAAGGAACCCTCTGCCCGGTTGTTGAAACATGTTGTGCGTTGCTACTTACGCTTATCCGACAACCCAAGGTAAGTTTTTATTTTTATTCTCCCCTACCTCTTCTGACAGTTAAATGTTCATTTTCTTTCTTTGTTTTGTTTTTCAGAGCAAGGGAGGCTTTACGCCAATGTCTCCCTGATCAACTCAGGGACTCCACTTTTGCAGGATGCCTTCAAGATGACAAATCGACAAAGCATTGGCTCACCCAACTACTGAAAAACCTTGAAACTGGTGATCCTCGCGCCGTGACCATTTCTCCTCTGGCACCTCAGTAATTATGACCTTTGCATGTTTCTAATCAAGGCCCCTTTTCCTTTTGTGTTATGGAATTCTGAGTCTCCTCTTTTCATGGTCTTCATTGCTGTAGACACATTTTCTCTGTGATTTCTGTGATCAAGAATTATAATTCCTTTACCCAAATATTGTCTGAGATGAACATGAAAAGATGGGAGTCAAGTGATAGAATGTACAAAAGAAAGCTCATGAGGGTGCATTCAGTCACCTAAAATGTTACAGCACCTGTATTTTTGTTGATTAGTCTAAGCTTATCTTTTTGTTTTCTGTAAATGAAATTGTCTTCTGTGGTGAATATTTCAATTTATTGAGTAGATCAAAATGATGAACCTCTCAAGTATCAAAATGACTGGCTGCATGTCAGCTTGTTTGTTAGTCTTTAATTAAATTAATTTTTCATCTACATTTGATGAGTTCAAGTCATGTAAGTATTTATTGGGTCACAAAGTAGAAGTAGACCCAGGTTACACTCTCAGTTTCAAGAATTATTTATTTAAGTCATGGATATTACAAATTATGGTGGTAATTGTTTATCATATCCATGATATAAACAATTGAAAATTTTCGGTTCTGTTACTTAGTGTTCTGTGATTTTCTGGTCATAGTGTCTTTTGATGTGGTTGGCCATCCACAACTCGAGATTCTGACTAGACTTTGTTTTACATAGTACCTGTGTTGTATTTCCTATACATGCATCAAGTTGTGCGCCTTTTAATTTCAACAGGACCTTTCATTTAAAGACGTGTTGCTTGAGCATATTATATGAGTTTATTTTATGCCATTAATGTTTCTGGTGCAAACAATCTCTGTATTTCAATGTTTAGTATTTTTGGGGTATTTTCTTTTTGGAAAAGGTGCTATCATTTGTCTTAGTTTGCAAATTCATAAGCTACTCGCTCCTTTGCTAAAAAGCTGATTATTATTGATTTCCAAGTTCTTTGCTGCTAATGCAGGCATATTGTGCAACTGTCAGTTGTTCGGTACTATTAATGAAAATGATCTCGCATGTCAATAAAGGCAATCCTTTAACTGTTCAGGTAATTTTTTTTCCCTTTTTTTTCTTGGTTAATCTGTACTAAGTTTATAAAAATTTCCTTGATGCACGTCCATAATTGTTTTCGTCGACTCATCTAAAATCATGCTGCCTGTGTTTTATCTTCATATTTGATTTTATTTGGCTACATCGATTGCTCATTTTGCAAACTTTTCTTAACCTCACTGGATGTTTTTGTCTTGATGACATTTTCTGTTCACTTAAGCATTGTGTTGTACAATGGTTGTGTCATGTTCATTTGTATTTTCTTTCTTGAGAAGAGTTGTGTCAACTTATTCTTGTATTTGATCTGTGAAAGATATTTGGGGGCTGGGCTCTCTGTGATATGAAACCTGTTTTCACATAATGTTCTGAAGCATTGGTTGGTAAAGGCTGAAAAGTTCTAAATTTATATCCTTGTCTTATGGTATTTAGATTACTTGCTGCGGTTCGGGACAGAATGGCAACAGTGTCTCTGACTGACAAGTTTGTTTTTGAAAAGTCTATTGTTGTATTTAGTGTGGGGGTGACTGCAATAATGTGCAGCCTAGTGTGTAATGACTAGGATTAACTTTGTCTTAATATTGAAAAGCAAATGCTTTAAGTTCAAAAATGAGCAACTTGTGTTATGTAGAGTTAACTTCCCAAAACATGCCACGACTTCTGTATTCTAGTTTTTTTTGACAAATGTTTTCAAATCCCTGATAATTGGTGTGAAACCATCCAACATGTGTCTTTTCAAAGCCTTTCTGAACATTTAGTCCTATGTTCATGTAACTGTTTTATTGTCAATTATTGATAACTTATTAATGACAAAGATTATTACTGTACTTTAGAATCAATTAGTTTTAATTGTCTTCTTGGAAGGCTATAGTGTAATTATGTTGCATCAAAATGCAGCCTGGGGGTGTTTTTGAGAAAATTTCTTGTCAACGTTAGTTCAGTGCAGCAGGGTGATAAAGTATAAATTTGGTTACAATGTTTGCTGTTCTATGCATTATTCTTGTTTACTTTTATTTAATGAATATTTCTTCCCTGTTTAGTCTACAATACTATTTGAATGACACTAATAACTCTGCCATATGTGTGACATGTTCGTATGTAGCAGAACTCATGTACAAAATGACAATCTACTGTCATCACAAAGGATTGATGTCATATTTAGTCCTTAGACTACCTGTAATAATGTGAAGACTGAAGCTTGATTTCACAGAATGTATTGTACTCTCTGCCTCTGTAAAGTTCTGTCTTTATATGAGTTCTGCCTGGGAATTGGTTTCTGTTCTATGTAAATGTGCCTGTAATCTGCACCTTTCTTTTCAAAATGTGGGGAAGGTCATAGAATTTTACTGAATTCCATCATACCAAACTTCAGCAAATTTTCTGTCATAAACAACCTCCTAGAAAGGTGTTGATTCCATGCATGTTTTCACCATTTTGTGATGCAGATAATTTTGAGTTTGTAGCATAATTTGATATATGTTTGTGCTGTTTTTCCTCGGATACTCTTCACCTTAGATTTCAGTAAGATTCTGCTTAAAGGGTAAAATTGAGGCATTAGTGCTTTGTACTGACATTTTTGTGCGTTATTCTAATCAAGCAATAAATATCTTCTATGATGTTCTGTCTCATTCGTCAATACGTATCCTTCAAGTATATTCCCATTTTACAGTGGAATAAATGTCATGGCGAAACATTTTGAGTGTGGCGGAAGGACGATTGAGGGGGAAGACCGGGGAAGGGGGCGCTGCTGTAGCGTTGCGTTCCCGGAAGGATGAAATATGAAGGGAAGGGTGCGGTGCTCGACAGGGGGCCGTCCCGTTGATTCTTTTTATTTCGGCGAGGAGAGCGAAAAAGAGGAAGGAGGACGGGACGGGACGGCGTGGAGAGAAAAGTTGGAAGTGGGGCGCGTCGCAGCCTCGCAGCCTCAGCCCCGCCAGCACTGCCAGCACTGCCAGGCAGCGGCAGCAGCGGCAAGTGGACTCAAGTGTGCTCGCGGGCCGCGGGGCCCGGGCAAGGTAAGGAGGGTAAAGAGAGAGAGAGGAGAGAGGGGTGGGGGGCTGCCAGCTGGTTGTGGAGCGGTGGGGGTCGATAATGCTCAAAAGTGAGGGCGGGGATGCGAGCGCCGGGGGATGGGGCGGCGGGGCGGCACAGAGAGGAAGAGAGAGAGAGAGGGAGAGGGGGGAGGGGAAGCGAGCCGAGAGAACGCGAAGGGCGGCGCGAGGGAGAGAGCGAGATAAATACCGGCATGCGTAACCCAGTTTCTCGCAGCGAACAGGCGGTCAGACGCGCCTCGCTGCCAATCCGCCCCCACCCCTTGCCGCTGCCTCCGCCTCGCCTCCGCCAACCCCCGTCGGCCCGTCGGCTGGGGATGCGCGCAGCGCCGCGCAGCGCGCAGGGGTGGAGGGAGGGAGAGGGGTAGTTCCAGCGGCGGCCAGATCAAGAGCTGCACGCTCGCCGCTCGCCCGGTCCGGCCTGGGACGAATTGCGCCAAGTAGGAACGTCGCAGTGGTACGCAGAGAGCGCCTCCCCCGCGCCGCCCCGCCCCCGCAGCATCCTCTCCTCCCCCGCCGAGCCAGCCGTCCAGAGCCATCCGCAGTCCGCATGCATGGGCCTTGTCCGTCCGCCGTGGCGCTGTAGCGCAGTGTAGCGCCGCCGCGTGGCGCCCCACATTCCGAATGGAAATCGGGCAGCTTTGCCACCGGCTGGGGCTGGACTCGGCGCCGATTGGCGCGGCACGGCCTGCCGCCCTGCAGACTGACTGATTCCGAGAGTCGCTCTCGTCGCTCTCGTGTCTCTCTAGCACCCGAGGGGTGTCACATGTGCGTGCGAGAGAGACACAGCGACGTGAACGGTTCTCGGAATCAGTCCACCGTTATAGGGATGGACGGGGAGGGAGTTCCTGGTCGCCGGAGTGGCGGACGAAAGTGCCGCCCCGCCCCGCCCCGCCCCGCCCGCCCCGCCCCGCCCCGCCCCGCCCCGCCCCGCCCGCCCGCCCCCCCCGCCCCGATCCCCGCTCCCGCCCCGCCCCGCCCCGCCCGTCCCGTCCGGGCTCGCGTGGACCCAGCACCGCCCCCCCAACAACGCCAGCAATCCCGGTCGATCAGGAAGTCGGTAAAAGAATAAAGAATGACGAACGAGAAAGTCGTGTGAAACATTACCAAACAATGCTCCAACTTTTAAAAGAGCCGACTAAAGTGGCGCGCCGTCGTTGCCGCCGCGGAAGGCGCCTTTAATGACCTCCGGCCGCGGCGGGGCTGCCTGCAAAGGCGGGAAAAGGAACAGGGAAATTGCCACCCGTCTTTCCTCGCTCCTGCAAGCGGCCAAAGCCGCCCCGGGACACGGACTCCTTGATGCGAGCAGGGCGGCGGAATAAAACCTCGCAGGACTGATTCCGACAGTCGTTGTCGTCGCTCTTCTCTGTCTCTTTCGCACCTGTACGGAGCGCTCCATGAGTGCGGGAGAGACAGAGCGACGAAACCGGCTCTCGGAATCAGTCTGCAGAGTGAAATCGCTTCCTCCAGGACGCCAGCGCGCTGCTCTCGAGGAGGTGTCGACTACCCACTCCAGCCGGGCCGGGCCGCCGCGTTCGCCCCAACCCCTCGCCGCGGCCGCTCGCCGCCAGCCCCATATCGGCGTCCCCTTCCCGCCCCGAGCTTCCCCGATACCGCCGTACCGCCGTCTGGCTGACCTAGTTTCCACGCGCGACGCGTCGCGTCACTAAAGTATAATGCGATTCAATTAAGACTCCAGGCGGGACGCTCATATTGATCGCGTGTAGGCCGCGGCATCCTCGCGCGCGTGGCGTGGCGTGGCGTGGCGTGGCGTGGCGGAGGGGGATGCATGCATCAAACTGGACGAGCGGGCAGTCGATTGAATCCTCCCAGTCCAGACTACAGGGCTAGCATCAGCAGCGCCCCCGCGGCCGCCGTAAACCGAAAGCCGACGACCGGAATCGGAGGCGTGGCGGGTTCGGCGGGGCGGGGCCGGGCGGCCGATTGACAGTGGGCCCGAACCGAATATGACAATCCCTCCGAGATTATTTAGAAGCCCGGAGCGGCGGGCGCGCGCCTCAGAACGCCGTTCCGTTCCGCTCCACCCCCGCACCGCCGGCATCCCGCCGCCTTGCCGCCTTGCCGCCCTGGCCAGCCAGCCGCGTTGGCTCTGGCTACCAAACCTCCCCGCCCGCCGCGCCGCCCCCCTCACCTGTCCGCGCCCCGCTACGCCCCGCCGCCCCGCCGCCCCGCCGCCCCGCCGCCCCCTCCCCGTCGAATGTCCCCACGGCGCGCGCGCTGGCGGCGCTGGCGGCGCGGTGGTGGTTCCCGCCCCCTCTCGTACGCACCGCGCCGCCGCCGCGCCGCCGCCCCCTCGTGGCGTGTTGGCAGCCCTTCTTCCGCCCCCAGTGCAGCGTCGACCGCGGCGCGGCGAGCATCACGGCGGAGGGCCGCGACGCCGCCTCGGCCTGCCCAGCGCCCCCCGCACCGCGCCGCACCGCACCCCCACCCCTCGCCGGCTTTTAACGCGATTCGAACAGTGCTGCGCCGCGCCTCGCGCTTCGCCTCGCCGCGGCCATCGGCACGGCCTGCACGGCCATGCCCAGGAGCACGCCCCGGCAGCGGCGGCCGCGGCGGTAGCGCGGACGATGCAACATGGCGGGCGCAGCGGAAGCGGCGGCAGCAGCAGCGGCGGCGGTGGAGGACGGAAGCCTGCTGGACCAGGTGCACCAGGTGGCGCTCTAGCGCGCTGAGATGCAGCTAAGGCTGCTGCAGCTGCAGGCGGCTGGCGCGGCTGGCGTGGACGAGATCGGCATGGAGGCGACCAGCTCAGCACCGAGTCCCGGCCTCAGCCCGGGACTTAGCCCGGGCCTCAGCCCTGGCCTCAGCCCGGGACTCAGCCCCGGCCTCAGTCCAGGCCTCAGCCCGGGGGCGCTCAGCCCGGGCCTCAGCCCCGGCCTCAGCCCCACTGGGATTACCTCCGTGTCCGGGCCGGACAGCCCGGGCCTGGGCACCGTCACGACCGTCACGGGGAGCTTCAGCCACCACGGCTTCACCAGGTAGGTCACCGCCGCGATGTAAACAACACGCACTGGGCCGCGGCGCACGCAGCCAGGCTCATCATCAGCCCATCGACCAGGCGCCGTCTCCTCTCCCTCGGCGGCCCTGGTCGGCCCTGGTCGGCCCTTCGTGCACCTCGTGCACTTCGTGTCCTTCCTGGTGCCGTTTGCCGTTCAGCCACCCCGTCGCCCTCCCGCCCCACCACACCCCCACCGCGCCGCGTCCCTGCAATGTGGAGCAAGGTCACACGCTGGTGCATTCGAAATGCACGCTGGCCTGGCAGGGCTGCAGGGCTGCAGGGCGGCACTGCCCCCTCCCCTGCTCGCCCTTTCCCGCGGCCCCCCGACGGCACAAAGGCCTGCAAGACCCTGCCCCTTCCTCCCCAAGACCCCCAGGCCCTGCAAAACTCTCCAAGACCCAAACGGCGCCCGCTCGACTGCCCGCCCGAGAGCCAAAGTGTCCTTCCTTCCCTTTCTCCTCGGCGCTTTCATCGCTCGAAGGCCTTCCGCAGTGCAGTGCGCAGTGAGAGGCCCCATCGCAGAAATGAAATGGAATGGCCGAGTGATGGCGTCGGGGAGGCGCTTGGCGGCCTGTCGACGCTCCGCCCGACAAACTCGAGCCTGCGACTAGGTCGTCTGCTTCAACTTTACGGTGCCGGAGCAGCACTACCCCTGCCGTGCAAGCACATGGAGGTGACCGCACGTGACCTAATTTTACGACCCGAGGTCTCTTTTTCTGCCCTTTCACGGGCCGCAGAAAGGCGTGTAACATGGCCAGATTCACTTATCCGACCAGGAAGTGGCCTCCCCCTGGGTCTTGTTCCGTCCCGGGCAGCTTGTCCTAGCCCCAGGCAGCCCTGTACAGCCCTGTACAGCCCTGTACTCCCGCAGAGCGAAGCAGAGCGAAGCAGTGGGCCATACAAGCCGCCCCTGTCCGATATTACTCCGAGAGAGACGCTGGAGACGCGGCGCGGCGCTGAACAAGCAAAAGTAGGTCACGAAATCGGCGCGCTCGGAGCGAGGCGGGGTGGGGTGGGGTGGGGCGGGGAGGGGCGGGGCGGGCGGCGAGCGCCGGGTTGTGGAGGGTGGGGTTGGGGGTGCGGCAGCGTGGCAGCGTGGCCCAGCAGGGGAGGTTTGTTTGTGGCCGGCGTAGCGGGTGGGGAGAGCAGGACGGCCTGGGGATTCGACGTGTTTATCAGTTAGGAACTCCCGCCCCGCCTCGCCCCGCCCCGCCCCGCCCTGCATCGATTCCGATCGGACTGCGTGCGCGCTTCAGCACGCTTCAGCAGCAGGGCTTCAAGAGGCGTCATGTCCGGCCGGTCTCATTATTTCGAGCACGCCCCGAACCGTGTCGGCGCCGCCGGGCGCCACGCCACGCCGCCCTATGCCACGCCACGCCGCCCTATGCCACGCCGCGCCGCCCTATGCCGCGCCACGCCACACCACACCGTGTTTACGCTGTGTTTACGTCGCGTGGGGCGAACGGCCGCAGAATGCGGTCAAGTCCGCGAAACACGGCAGTGAACGGCCACGACAAGGCGGTGGGCTTGGATGGGATGGGGTGGGGTGGGGTGGGGTGGGGTGTGTGGGGGCGAGTAGGTCTGGGCTCTAGAGATGAGGGACAGGTAAGATGTCTGCTTCACCGCCTCCTTGATCTGTACAGTCTCGCTCCGGCGCGAGCCTCCAAACCGTCACTTAGATCAGTAAACGTTTCTGCCTTGGACTGAACGGACGCGTTGTCATTCTCCTTCGGATTTATCCAAATCCATCCTTACATCTGAAGTCAGAAATCCAGTGAATAATTCATACAATATTCCATCCAACTCGGAACACATTAATGGCGACGAGGATTTCAAAAGAACTCAAGTGATAAGTGAAAAGTGGACAAGTGTGTGCTAAGTGTGTCCTCCCCTCCGACCGCATGGCGAGGACGCCACCATGGCTCAACCTCCTCTACCCCACATCGTGTTTGTCTCCAATCCGCCTCCTTTTGATGCATTTGATCCTAATTCTGAGGAAACTATTGATCAATATGTGGCGCGATTCGACCGTTTCTGTGATGCTCATCTGGTGCCTACGGAGCCGCGTGGACCACCTACAGTAGAGGAGCCCTTGGGACCGATTCTTCCACAAACAAATCGGCGAAGAAATTTCTTCCTGTCCAGCCTGGGATCTCGGGCGTTCGGTACGCTTTACACAGCTTCCCTACCCAACGTACCCCATGACTACTCGATACCTCAGCTTGTGACTACACTCAAGATGAAGTATTACTAGGTCTAGAAGGTACTATTTGCTACATAGACAATATTCTGACTCAAGGTTCTACTTTGCAAGAATGTATTGAACGTACTCTTATTGTGTTGTCCCGATTGGATAAACACAACATCAAGTTAAGACTTGATAAGTGTGAATTTTTTGTATCTCAGCTAGAGATACTAGGTTTTGTCATTTCAAAAGAAGGCAGAGCTCCTGCTCCCTCTCTTACTTATGCAATTGTCAACTGTAAAAACCCTATTGATTCTAAACAAGTGCTCAGTTTCCTGGGAATGGTAAATTTTTACAGTATTTTTATTCCCCAGTTTGCAACAGTGGCCAAACCACTTTGGAAACTCACTGAACAGGACTGTCCATTCCTCTGGTCTCCTGAATGTCAACAAGCATTTGATAAGTGTAAACAATTGTTAGTGTCATCAGATGTACTCATCCATTACGATCCTAATAAGCCTATTGTTCTGTACACAGATGCCAGTCCATACGGAATTGGTTCTGTCTTGTGCCATACAGTCAAAGTAGGTAATAGATATGTAGATAAACCTGTGAAGTTCATGTCTTGTACTCTATCTCCTACCCAACAGGCTTACGCTCAGATCGACAGAGAAGGTCTAGCAGCCGTTCATGCTGTCAGCAAGACCCACAGATTCATCTGGGGTCGCAAGTTCACTCTGGTAACAGACTGCCAGGCCATTCAACGGATTCTCCACCCTTCCAAGGAGATTCCAGTTCGAGCCAATCATAGACTCCAACATTGGGCTATAATTCTTCAAGCCTATGATTATGACTTAGTTCACCGTTCCAGCAGGCAGTTGGTGGTGGCGGACGCGCTATCCCGACTCCCAGCTCCAACCTCAGTGGCAGAAGTTCACTCCCTCAAGATCCTTACTGAGCTCCCTCTATCTGCAGACAGGGTTGCCCAAGAGACATCAAAGGACCCAATCCTTCAACGAGTCTTCCGCTATGTCCACCTAGGCTGGCCACCTAGGGAGAAATTTCAAGACGACTCCAACATCAAAGGATACTACACCGTCAGAGACAATATTTCAATCAGTAACAAGTGCCTCATGTTCCAATCCAGAGTCATCATTCCACCCTCACTGCACAAAGAAGTTTTGAAGATGCTACATGAAGGTCATCCAGGAGTAGTTAGATCCAAGCTTCTTGCAAGATCTGCAGTGTGGTGGCCTGGTTTAAGCCAAGACATTGAACAACTATGCTCAAATTGTTCTACTTGTGCATTAGTGAACTTCAAGCCGTCCAAAATATTTGTGCCATGGCCCAAGCCATCATCTCCGTTTGAGCGGATCCATATTGACTTTTATGAACAATCCAAAGAGTCTTACCTCATTATTGCAGATGCTTATTCAAAGTGGATTCATATTTGTCATATGATCAACACTAAAGCTCCCCTTGTGATTGATGAACTCCTGTCAACATTTGCCATATTCGGACTACCCAAGAAGTTGGTGGCCGATAATGGTCCTCCATTTGAAAGTACTGAGTTTGCTTCTTTCCTCACGAAGTTCAACATCCAGTTACTGCACTCTCCAGCGTACAACCCAGAGTCCAACGGGCAAGCTGAGAAGAGTGTAGACATTGCGAAGAAGGGAACCGCCAAGATCCTTGCCAGTCAAGATCCCAACTGTGATCCCCTCTCAACTAAGACTGTGCTTAGTAAATTTTTGTTCAATTATCGGAACACTCCCAGCACAGTGACACTCAAATCACCCAATGAGTTGTTACTTCAATATCGTCCCAGAACCATGCTATCTCAATTGATTCCTCCCAAAGCAGGTTCTCCTCTCTCTCATTACAATGAAGGAGAGAAAGTTTGTTTCAAACTTAAGGAAAGATCTCCTGTAATCCATGCTACTATAATTAAAGTCCTAGGTCCTAACAGATATCGAATTTCATGTCAAGGAGTTGAACGTGATATTCACCATAACCAAATTTCTCGTGCATAAACAATCTTGTATTCTCATTGTACTGTTAGTGTATGTCGTAAAGATTACTTACATGCTTATTTTAATTCATTATACATTCCTTGTATCCAACTCTTATTGTATGTCAATTGTTAATTCATGTGTAATTTCATTGTAAAAAGTTTGTTTACTACCAAGTGTAAAATTCAAGTGGAGAGTGGGTAAGATGTCTGCTTCACCGCCTCCTTGATCTGTACAGTCTCGCTCCGGCGCGAGCCTCCAAACCGTCACTTAGATCAGTAAACGTTTCTGCCTTGGACTGAACGGACGCGTTGTCATTCTCCTTCGGATTTATCCAAATCCATCCTTACATCTGAAGTCAGAAATCCAGTGAATAATTCATACAATATTCCATCCAACTCGGAACACATTAAGGGACAGGCAAGCTCGGCGCGAGCCCAGCCGCTGCCGACTGGCACGGAACCCAACCCAACTCGGCTTGCCCATGGGTTGGGCTGGACCGGCAAGCGGCTTGGGCGGCTTGCTCTCCGGCCCGAAGATGAGTGTGGGAGTGAGACAGACAGCGTCGCTTTGACTGTGGCTGGCTGGCCGACGGAGACGACAGCTAGCCGAACCGCCGCTGCCGTGGCGTGGCGTGGCGTAGCGCGATCGGCCGAACGGCGTATGATGTCAAGTTTGACTACTTATGCTATTCCGTATGTCTGCATACCCTCCCCAACTTTCTTTAATGTGTTGATTATTGTTTAATGAGGGCACCTGCCGTCGGTTGCACGATTCAAGTCG